GCTCGCGGCATCCAGTTTTAGAACCGTTGACAGTACAAAATGACGCCAGTGGTCGTATATATTGAACAGTGCTTTGCTTACAGTACAGTCCCATACAATAAGCATCTTTTAACCGAATTGGTCAGAACACTATCTTCCATTGTGTAATTTTTTTTAAAAGAGGACGACTTTGTAGAAAAAGTATTGTTTTCAAATCGAAATTCCACAAAGGAAGATTAGTCGTGTATTTCTGCATGCACCGTAGTATTTGCAGCGTTTTGTCTGGCGTCCTTCGTACAAATGTGGCTGATTGTCTACTACGAAAGCTATCATTTTGTAGGTTGTGACTGCCGTCAAATCCGGATAAACAGGCTTATTCAAATAAAGCTATTTTAGGGCATCGTTTGTTTTTTCTAAAAGACTCTATTTCAAAGCACAGAAAAAAAAAAATTCACGAACAGAGAGAAGTTAAAACTGTATACACAAGGGAGATGAATGGTCGTAGACAACGAGGCAGACCAAGAAGACAATCGAGAGATAACGTCCAGACAGACCTGCAAACACTTGGTGTCACCAACTGGAAAGAGAAGGTCAACCAGAGAGATGAATGCAGGCGGGTGATATCTGCAGCAATGAACTTCAAGGGCTCGGAATGCTGAAGAAGAAGAAGTATGTTTCTATAATGTCAGTTTATATAAACAAATATAAAAGGATATTTTTAATGAATGAAAACATACGCGTTTGTGTATGTGAGTTTGAGTATGCTTGAGGGCGAAAGAAAGAAAGAAAGAAAGAAAGAAAGAAAGAAAGAAAGAAAGAAAGAAAGAAAGAAAGAAAGAGGAACAGAAATAGAAATGGCCACTCGACTTTATTCAACTAAATCTTAGCATATCTGAGTATGCGTGAAAATACCCTTTTTAAGATGCCGCCCCCTCCCCCTTCCACCCCCGCCCCCCCCCCCTCAGATCAGTTTACCCCAATTAATAAAGATCTTTTTTCGGTTCTAACAACCCTGGGCGAAATCAAACACAGACCTTGTTAACTACATACAATTGCTTGTTGTCCCCTCGGGGAGGATGGTAAAGCTGCTGTAGTTTTCTCTGCTCCTACGTCTAAACCACGGTGTGGTAGGCATTTGCCCTAGCCAGAATCCAAACCGGAATCTTTCTGCCACCAACAGACCCTTGGCGGGATTACCATCTTGAGATTTATCAGAAAAATATCTTCTGGGTTTGTCAAGTCTGGTGGTCTGTTACTTGCAGAAAGCACGATCGCCATTATTAAGCTGTTCGTGTCTAAGAACGTGTATAGCTGCTTCGAGGGTCGCTCCAGAGCTGTTTTGTTAATGTTGTGGCTATGAAAGCGACACGGTGCTTTATTAATGTCCTACCCCAAACAGGGTAATCCACAGGTCACGGGACTGTCTAATATTTCAGGGGGTGGTAGATATGTGGGACCTATGTTGCATGCATTCGTGGGGTCTAGACTGCACTTTCTTGTGAGACGTAGGTGGGTTGAGGTTAGGGCCAGTTTTAGATGTTTTGGGGTCGTTAAAAAAACAAATTTCAGAGATCTTTTTTAGAAAACAATTAAAAAGATATCAACCCTTCTTGTTTGCGATTTTACTATATATTTACATTTTGTTTTACATATGACTGTTATTCTTCTTCTTCTTTGCGTTCACCAGCTGTAAACTCTTGCGGAACGTTCTGCCTGTTCGTCCACTTCCTGACTGCAGTTCTGTTCCGGAACTTAAGTGTTGCGCGTGCATCCGTTTGACAGATCTGACTAATTTGTATGCGGACTGATGGTTCCTTGCCTCTCGGACAGATGCACCTCGACGGAAGCTCCTAGTTAGTCGACTCTTACGACATGCTTTTGGGTAGGCAGTGGGTCTATTCTTGTTTTCCCTATAATAAGGCCCCGGAACTCACACGGGGATATATATGACTGTTATAAAGAAGAGGTCTGTGGCGAGCCGTGGAAAATAACAGAGGTTTCGAGCTTCTCATCTAATTTCGAAGCACTGCTTTAGAGGGTTAACTGTAATACCCTCCGTTGCTGATCTTGTCGTTTACTATTTATGGCAATGCGGCATTTCTTTTTCCTGCAAGTTTTGAAATATTCTGTATCAAGCATTTCGACATACGTTGGTTACACAAACGCGCGCGCACGCACGCATGCGCCCGCCCCCACACACACACAGAGAGGTATTATTCACGGAATTCTCCCCCACCTCGTTTGCGCAGAAGATCTAGTGGCTGTTGTCATGTGCTGTCCTATGTTCTAGGGGTTGTCAGGTGTTGCTTTTTATTTTTAGAAGGTTTTAAGCACACCCACTACCGACGACAGCCACCGCAAACGAGCGTCAGAATACAAAAACATCAGTGATTCGATAATCGCCAATAGTCGCGCCTTTGGCGATTCCTAGTGCAGGATTTCTTCCATATACACAGGCGCCAGCGGCGCCTGAGCTACTCACAATACAACACGTTCCAGAAACAGCACTCGTTCAAACAAAAGACAGTAGCGAAATCAAAGCTGCAGTTACGTCTGCGAGACAGTGTGTCGACCTCGCCAGTCATTATAATTATTATTGTGAAGTTAACCGAGTCTTAAAAGCCCATGTGAAATATATTATTACATTGATTTGCAATTTATCACACAGTAATATAAATACAGTTATTATATCATTTAGCATACTATATTAATAATAACAATCATTATTTTATTCTTTTTTTATAATTGCGCAGTTAAACAAGGCTTAATCACCTTTCAGATATAATATTATATTGGTTTGTCATTAAGCACACAATAATAATAGTAATAATAAAGAATTATAATTATATCATTATTGCAATTAAAAAGGATTACGCATCCTCCGCTCCCAAGAAAATTCAAGAGGGATGACCGGCACCCCCCCCCCCCCTCCCCTTTTTTCCACCCCTATGTTTTCTTTATGGCAGCGCGTCTACATTGGGGTTTCCTCAGAAAGTGTGTTAGTAAAGGGGTTGATCATCCCGTATCCCTCGAAAATTGCTAAAAGGGTTTAAACCCCCCCCCCCCCCACCCCCACCCCTTTCCCACATTGTTGGGGGGGGGGAGGATGGGGGTGTCGGCACCTCCTGTGTATTGACAACTGTATCAAAGTATCAACGATCATTGGCATTACACACAGCAAGATGCTGCTGTGGCTAGACATAATGCCCAGCGAAATACCCAATGGACTATAAGAAGAAGATGTTCTGTTATTCTTTCAGTATAGGTTTCCAAACCAACTATTGTAGTTGGCACCTGCAGTCGGTGATAAACACACTACACTGAAACAGCAGGGAGATTTTATCCCAGCTGTCAAACAACAAACCACAAGTTACCGCGAGGATTACTGTCTGTTGACACACATTTTCACTGGCATTTTCGTCTAGGTTACCCCGGATTAAGTCACCCTCCACGAGTGCCATGTTAATCTCACCTGTGCGATTTTAGAGAGGGGGCGGATTCGCAGAGACGTGGCATTGAAGCAGCGGCTTAGAGATAGTGGTCTACGTCATCGGAATGCTCCCTACCCGTGTGGGTTACAGGGCCCCATTGTGGGGGAAATAAGTTTAGACCCACTGCCTCCCCAACTTGCATGTCGTAGGAGTCGACTTATTGGGGACTTCCTTCGAAGTCGGAATGCATCTGCCCGAGCGGCAAGGAACAACCAAATAAATGCACACAAATATGCCGGTAAAATATATACACGCAAAACTCAGACCCTGGCACAAAGTCAAAGTCCAGCTGGGCAAACAAACAGGACTTTCCGCCAGAGCTTACAGCCGCTGAACAGAGATGAAGAGGAAGAAGAAGAACAAAAAGAAGAAGAAGAAGAAGAAGAAGAAGAAGAAGAAGAAGAAGAAGAAGGAGAAGAAGAAGAAGAAGAAGAAGAAGAAGAAGAAGAAGAAGAAGAAGAAGAAGAAGAAGAAGAAGAAGAAGAAGAAGAATAAGAAGAAGAAGACGAAACAGAAAAAGAAGAAACAGAAAAAGATGAAGAAGAAGAAGAAACAGAAAAAGAAGAAGAAGAAGAAAAAGAACAAGAACAAGACGAAAAAGAACAATTAGAATAATAATAATAATAATAATGTTAATAATAATAATAATAATAACAATAATAATAATAATAATAATAATAAGAAGAAGAAGAAGAAGAAGAAGAAGAAGAAGAAGAAGAAGAAGAAGAAGAAGAAGAAGAAGAAACAGAAAAAGAAACAGAAAAAGAAGAAGAAGAAGAAGAAGAAGAAGAAGAAGAAGAAGAAGAAGAAGAAGAAGAAGAAGAAGAAGAAGAAGAAGAAGAAGAAGAAGAAGAAAAGAAGAAGAAAGAAGAAGAAGAAGAAGAAGAAGAAGAAGAAGAAGAAGAAGAAGAAGAAGAAGAAAAAGAAGAAGAAGAAGAAGAAGAAGGAGGAGGAGAAGAAGAAAAAGAAGAAGAAGTAAAAGAAGAAGAAGATGCCCCCCTCCCCCCCCCCTCCCTGTGGGTTTCAGGGTTTCATTAGGTGAGGGGGGCGGGGTAATAGACCCTTCTCCCACCAGAAGCATGCCATAGCGACTAATTAGGGATGTTTTTTTTAAGTCGAAAAAAATCTTCCCGAAGAACCAACAGTCTGCATATAATTAGGGCATATATGCCAGACAGGTACAATAACAAATTTCAAAAAAACTTCACTTAAGCATTTCAATGATTTTTTTTTTTCTGACAATTAGTGAAAGTGTTTCATAATATAATCAGTTTTTTTTTCGACTGCTAAAAATGCAGCTATTGCTTGGCTTATTCTGCTCTTAATTTCTGTCAGGCATTGTTACTGCAGTATACACCTGACGAGATACAGTGAAATATACCAGGCAATAAATTGTGCTATCTATTGTTGTCTCTGCTTTGTTCAAGTATACATAACTAATTACCTGTACTTTCTATGCAACATGAGTTAATCGATGTACTTTTCCTAGGCATGAAATCTATGCGCATATGTGTTTTCTGCTCCATACAGGGGTCCGTACATCTTGTTGAGTCAAGGGATTTCCGTATTGTGGTCAACATAACAGCTCCATCTTTGCAACGGACATATGATGTTGACGCTAATTTGTATGGACACAATGGAAAGGTCGTTTTGGAAATTGTAAGTCACCCAGCTAGCTCACAGTTATCATCATCATGTAGCAGGTCCTTTGCAGAACGCCACTCTCATCCCAGTCTGCCTGAAACTCGCTCTCTCGCCAGCTCTCCCGTCTCATTTACTTTCATACTTAAGGAGTCACTAATATCCTGTGCCCATCTTCAAGTTGGTCGACCCCTGCCCCTCCCTACTGGTACCATAAGAAGGCAGTATTTCTCCTCTTCTTTGTCCAAGATATTCTGAGAATCTTTCTACAGCATTTCAGCTCAAAAGCCCCTATTCTTAATGACTGGGAGATAGTCCACGACGCACATTATCTCAAAGTACAGTGGTTTTTTTTTGTGTCATCATTATCATCAGTCTGAAGGTTGTGGGTTCAAATTTGTATCCAGTCTTTTCAAAAAAAAAATTACCATGACTCCCAGGCCAACCCAGCCTGAAATTGGTACCAGGTAAGCTCTTAGGGAAAAAAAGGTGACTGGTGTGGTGTTTTCTACATCACCCACCTTGTGCTGATTGGTTTATAAAATATCCAATCCTTCATTCTTCTCCCGATTCCGTTCTAAAAATAAAACAGTCACTACCACGTTCAACCTGCTGTTAACAGCGAGCCGCCAACAGGCTCCCGTTATATTTGTGGTCTGGTTTATTTGCCACACTTTTGTGGATAAGATTCTGGAATGTGCACCAGCTTTCTGGCTTTAATGTCATTCTTCTCTGTCCAGTGCAATCCTTTTTATATCATAAATGAAATTCAGTCCAGCATCTTTAGCCTCTCTCAGCTACATTCTTTTAAGGGTTTCTCTTAAATGTCGTCGTTTGCTCCATCCACCGGTTTTCCACTTAGCCCCCTCCCCAACAACCCTCACTAAGTACTAGATTTTTCTTTTTGTTTTGTTTTTATAAATGAATGTATGGATGGATGGACACCCCCCCCCCCCCCCGCCCCCTTTACAGCCCTCACTAGGTACTAGAGTACCGGTCCAAGCCACTAGTTTTGGTGCAGTAAACATCTCTTAGCCAACATAACTGAAACAAAGAAACCAGACCAAGTTATAAATGATACTGCTCACAGTAGGTGGAACTTGTTCAGTTAAAAATTTTTTTTTTTTTTTTTTACATAAATGGATGGGTGGATTTACCTTTCTGATGATTCTTTGCTAGCTTCTTCTCTTGGTGAGCCCAATGTAGTCATCTTCTCTGTCTGTTAACTGTTGATGCTAATGGTTGTCCAGACATTTCTCTTTTTTCTTAATTTTTTGTAGAATACAACAAACTAGCCAGCCAGTCTTTCAAGGGCAAATGGAGAAGAAGAAGAAGAAGAAGAAGAAGAAGAAGAAGAAGAAAAAGAAGAAGAAGAAGAAGAAGAAGAAGAAGAAGAAGAAGAAGAAGAAGAAGAAGAAGAAGAAGAAGAAGAAGAAGAAGAAGAAGAAGAAAAGGAAGAAGAAGAAGAGGAAGAAGAAGAAGAAGAAGAACAACAACAACAACAACAACAACAACAACAACAAGTCGAAGGAGAACAAGAAGAAAAATGAGGTCTGTCCACGAATCGCAGAAAGTTGTCAGTACCTAAGTTGTTGCATGCTGGTGGAGATGACAAGGTATGGAGATGCATGATCACCCAAGCTGGCCAGTGAGGCAGTGACTGACTGATGTTTTTCCCAACCAGAACAATACACCGAACGATAAACGCCCTGTGACACAAAATGCTACTTTTTGGATAAGAATCACCTGAGGACAGGTTTCAGAAACCCCGTTCAACCCACATGTCGGGTTATATTAGAGGCCCCGGCAACATCTGGTGTGGGGTTTCACAGTTGTGATAAACTGCGTCACACGTTTTATAAGGCGAGGCAGTTGATGATGACCTTGTTTAGGATGAGTGAAGATGATAAAGAATTAAGGCTAAAAACAAAATAATATTTGACTATAAAAGCTCAGTTGAAAGAGTGGAAAAGACACACATGATTGATTTGATTTGATTCAAGAACCGACATCACAGCACTCGGGGCATTCCCGTAAGCGCTCCGTCCCCATCTTCAGCAGCCAGTGAAGAGTTCCGATACTAATGGTGCCAGTAGCATTCTGATTAAACATCCGTCTTGCCTTTCCTCTGAGCCTCGAGCATCTGCCAGAACCTCTCGTCACTCCCAACTTTATCAATCTCACCAGACTGTGGTGATCCATCTGCTCCTCCCACAAGGCACTAACCAAGTCTGCCTTATCAGGTATCAGTATTCCACCAAGTTGTGCAGAGCCAGCCAGTCTGTCCGTCTGTTCATTTCCCAACACACCAGCGTGACCCGGTGAAAAAATCCAGACAATACTCCTCACTCGTGTCCTCCGCAGCGAAGCATGCCACTCTGCACGAAGCATACCTGTTCTGATCTTCCTCAGCATGCTTTCTGAATCAGTTACAATCACAATGTGTGTGTGTGTGTGTCGTGTTCTCTAGTCATTAGAAAGCTGCAGTGACCGCCTCCACCTCCATTCTTAAGCTGGATGTTGTGGTAGCATATGCTAGGCTCTCCTGCACGAAACGTCAACCATTAACTTTTGCTAAGAAGCCCCAAGCACTTCTTTTGCCTCTTGACACTGAACCGTTTGTGTAAATGATCAAATCCTCTGAGCGAGCATTATCTTGAATTAATTGCTGAATTTCCACCTCTGTGGCACCTGCTGGCCAGTCTCTGCATTCCCGGCTCAGCGTTATTTGACTACACAAGTCTAACTGTTCAGGTGGCACTTTGACCCACTCCTCTCCTCGCCTAATGTTCTCAAGGATGCTAACCTGTCTGATTGTGTCTTCTGCCTGAGCCATCCATGACCTCCCTCTTATCAGCCGCTGACCCTTAACTGCATCTAGAGCTTCATGCATGTGTCTGCAGCTACCCTGAGATATGACTTCGCCTGCAGCACCTTGTGCCTACCTGCAACCGTCGGCAAACCAAGGATGTATCGCATACACACCACTGGGGTGTCTCTGGTGCAACCCAGAATGACCCGCATAGCCGCGTTCTGTATGCGTTCTAGTTTGTCCATCTGACTCTTTGAGACGGTAAGCAGTCCCAGGCCATAATCCACCACTGACAGGATCAGGTGCTGATTTGGTGTGAAAAGCATTCTCTGCTCTATGTCATTTGCAGCCATAGTCTTAAGTGCACCAAGTCCTTTTTGGCATCTCGTCACAACACTCTCCACATGGTCCTTAAATGACAGGCTCCTGTCAAATGTAATTCCCAGATATTTCAGTTTGCTCTCTCTGTTGACGTCTCTACCATCTATCGTGAGACTTGGGACATTAGTTTTAACGATTCTGTTGTCCAGAGAACACCACAAAACAGAGGCCTTTTCCGGGTGGACGACAGCCCTCATTTCTGTACACCACTCAGTCACTTTGTCTACTGTCGCTTGTAGCTCCCGGGCTGTTTGTTCCCCCTGCCTATATGCAAGTATATCATCCTCAAAAGTCAGTATCCTTCCAACTCCTGGTGCTTCTAGGCTTGCAATCTTGCTCGTATACACGTTAAAGAGCACAGGCGAGATGTGACAGTCCTGGGGCCAAAGTGCATGGTTCTGAGGTCCATGAGCCCAGTCGGAGAGCAACCCGACGTGAATACAGGACAGCTGCAACCCAATTCACCAGCCATGGACTGACCTCCTTGTTCTTCAGTGCAGTCATTAAGATGTCATATCTCACTCTGTTATAAGCATCCTTGAGATCCAGTCCTACTGCCATAGTTTCCTGTCTGTTCTGGAACCCTTCATAGACGTCAAAAGCAAAAGTGGCCGCATTTGCCCAAGTGTCCTTTCCTGGCCTGTAGCTTCCCAGACCTCTTGGGAGAAGCTTCCCCCTTTCCAAAAATTCTTTTAGCTTTACAGCAACTATCTTCTCCAAGACCTTCCCAAATGTGTTTTGTAAGAAGATGATTCTGGTAGTCTGGTAGTCTTAGTTTCAGCTTCATAGCAAACGGGTCACCCCATCTTTGCTCCGTTCCTGTGCCAACGAATAACACACAGAATGTTTATCACAGTATTAGAATTGCAGTTCATCATTGATGGTAGCAGAAGTCACCAACAGATCATCAGTTGCCCACGCGATCAATTTTAATCACATACGGGCACCACAACACTGCACGACAGGCATCGCGCCATTTTCTGAATCTACAATTCACACCAACACGTTGGTCACAGTCGAAAAAACATTCCAAATGCAATCCGCAGCTCACAGGGTCACGCCATGCACTCAACTCAGAAGCTGGGCGACGAAACTAGATTCTAAAGCCACTAAGCTTAGGATGATCTTTAAAAGGTTTTGGTAATGGGATTAGATAGCTGTGCACCCAGTCCTGCGGTACAGTTGCTGTCTCAATACTGTGGTTAAAACTGTCGGCCATCTCTGCCAGGTCTACATCACTCAAAGCCTTCATGTGACCATACCTGACTCCATCAGGCCCTGGTGCAGTATCTTTTGCTTTTTTTCAAAATTTGTTTGATATCTTCCACTTGTATCATGTCTTCATAATACATATTCTTTAAGGTGCCAGCTAACTCCTATCTAACTGCATCCCTAATGTCTACATCATTATGATCTGTCTCAGCTATAAACCTATGGAGAAAAGCCTCCCCTTTCGCCTTGTCTGTTGTCTCACGCACATCATCGTGGAAAAAAAAAAGACACACAGATACAGTAAATGTTCTAACCAAAGTCCTTATCCAGGATAAAGAAATCGCACACAGCTTTGTTTGTTTGTTGATTTTGTTGACACTTTTTGATCTTTCAGCACAACAGTCCCCCATTTATACCATGAAGCATTCCATGAGTAGAAGTTTGAGGTTTGAACAACGGATCGACATCATGGCACATGGGTAGTAACCTATAAGTGCTCTGTTCTTCTGTTAACTCAATTCTGAGTCTGAAGAATCTGAGCACAGTACACAAGCTCTGTAGCACCGGCGAGGATCCTGAAATATTTTAAGTAGATTTTTAGCTCCAAATTTTATCTGGGCAGCGCCGTTAGGCTTCTCTTTTTGATTTCCAGCTGCCAAGGGATTTTTTACCTGCGCAACAATGCACACGGGCGTCCGATCTCACTACCCAGAGACCAGGGAGAATTACTAGTAGTCCAAGTCCATGTGAAAAAATCCCAGTCCTTAGTAGAGAAAAGAAGAAGATGAAGTCTTCCATTGTTCTATAAAGAGGTTTGGTAATCACAGTCTATGATGATACCAGTTAAGACCTTTCTCTCCTTAGCACAAATCCTGTGCAGTAATGTAGAGGCTATGGGTTGCCCATGCAGCATGATTCCTCTCTCAGTCAGCTTTGTTAAATGTGAAGAAAATGTAACACTAATACATTGCATTTTAGCACAGAATAAGTTCAGGTTAATTTACTGTATTTTTCCCTGTATAAGACACCCAGTATATATATAATAATACAACACCAATATTTACAAGCCTAAAATTAAGAAATTAATATTTTAAAAACATTCTATTTATAAGATTACCCCCAGATTTGCAGTTCTAAATTTGGGAAAATATATTGTCTTAGTAAAGTAAAGTAAAGGACTCTTTTCCACGCCTTTAGGCATATAGGGCCAGACCTGTGTGTGTATATATATATATAGTCTTGCGCAATCAAAAATGTAGTGCATTCTTCATTGATTTACATTTCTACTTTCACAGAAGGAGAGCACAGCATCATCAAGTGTCATCAGTCTCACCTGGCTCTTTGTCTGTATCTCTATAGCAACAGTTTTTGTGGGGATTATCACAGCTTGGCATGCCAACAAGTGGTAGGTTGTAGAGATCATTTGATCCTTAGATATGATCATTTCATAACAGAATTTTGTGCAAGAATGTTGTAAAATCATCCTATATACAGACAACAGATATGTCAACAAATAACACGTTGTAGAATTAATTTTATCAGAAGTCGGGAAGTTTTTTTTTCAAGTGAAGTATTTTGTGCTTAACTCTTTGAGTCCCAAGGAACGCATCATACATTCATAGGTTCCTACCTAGAAGCCCAATGAACATATGATGCGCAGATTTTATGTCTCTCTGCACTACCCTTGGGCCTGTGATGCTAAGCCCCCTGGGACTCAAAGAGTTAACTGTGATGAACTCATCCTGTATACAGACAACAGACATGCTAATAAATGGTGGAGTATACTTATTTTCTTTTTCTTCTTCGTTGTCCTTGGTAGTTAGCATTGTTTGTAAATTATCTTTGGGTTATGCCGGTGTGTTGGGAAATGAGCAGGCAGATTAACTGGCTCTGCCCCACTTGGTGGTGAATTGATGTATGAAAAGTTGGATATTGTGAGGGTCCTTTGGAAGTGAGTGAACAGAGCGGAGGTGCAGATAGATAATTATGGTCTAAGGAGAATGGCGCTGCAAGGAGTTACCAGGAGATCTGGCAGACGCTTGACCTCAAGTGAAGGGCGAGATGGATATACAATCATACCGTTACTGATACCGTAAGAATTGGAACTCTTCGCTTGCTGCTAAAGATGGGGACTGAGCATTTTTGGGAGTGTCCCTAGTGCTGTCATGTTGATTCTAAATTCAACATTCTTCTTCTTCTTCTTTGTTTCAATCCTTCTCAGCATTCTCCTTGGACAGCATTAAATCAGGAAACCAGTAGATGTGGTGAAAGCTATCATGCAGTCCAGATTTCCCATTGTGCTATCCAGCTTTGTTTTGATTGAGATTGAAAAAGGCCATATGGCCTCTCAGTATAAGTCTATACTGTTGCAGTACAAGCTCACCATTTTCAGGTTCAGTTTTAAGGAGTTACTGACAGGGCTAAATACTGAGACCTCACTCCTTTGACAGAGGACAAGACAAAAAGGGCTCAGAATGCTGGAGAAGAAGAAGAAGAAGAAGTATGCTGCTGGATATGCTGAGACTGCAGTCCCTGTCAAATTTTTCACAAAGGACAGTGACAAACATTCTGTGGGGTTTTCGTCAGCACAGGAGCAGAGCAATTGTAGGTTAACCGGTGCTTTATTAATATCCTACCCCAAACAGAGGAAATCAACAGGTCACAGGACAGTCTAATATTTCAGGGGGTTGTAGACAGGCTGCATGTAGTCGTGGGACCTACACTCCACTCCCTCGTGGGACGTAGAAGGGTTGGGGTTAGGGCCAGTTCTAGATGTTTTGGGGTCGTTAAAAGCATCAGAAAGCCGGGAAACCCAGCTTTACTAGCCTTCAAAATGTTGGACTATCCTGTGACGTCATATGGGGGTAGGATATCACGAGAGAACCCGTTAACCAAATTTGCTGTGATGTTGGAACTGTGATTGCCGGAATACCCAACTGTCTGTCTCAACAGGTAAATGCACTAACCACTATGTCAGTGTGGCCCTAGTAAAAGCAATCCCATGGTTTACCAGGGTAAGACCTCGATCCTTTAATGTGTGATCCACAGCTATCCAAGGTAAACAGATATTACTATTGCCTAATACAATTGATCCCCTCTTCTTATCTTGAGCATTTGTGTTTGAACAATTAAATCCTCTAACCGCTTGCTAAGCCTGTCCTGGAATAATTTCTAACTGCACAATTTATCGAACATTAACACTTTTAGTCCATTTTGAAAACACAAAGGAAAACACTTGTCTTGTTTACACTACCATCTTTGAATACATTGTTGTTGGAGTGGGCTACATGAGAACAGAAGGATACAAACCAGAAGACGAGCAAGAACAGAAATACCTGAAGGGAATAAAAGAGAGACTGTCAAAATGCTATAAGATATTAACACAGGCTACACATCTAGCAAACGGCAGGAAACTACATGCAACTCCTCTCTGTAGTGCTTTACAACATAAGAAGTAGGGAAGATAAAGTAAAAGAAGTTTTTTTTTTTTTTTTAACTTTTTAATTTTAAAGGTATCATTTTTGATTGTAATTACTTGTCTATTCTTATTTGCTGATCATTTATTTTCAAAGGTGCAACTCTGCATGAAGCATGCTTTGTGCAGAGTGGCAAGCATCACTTTAGAGGTCCCGGGTAGTTAGCAACCTTTGGATATTTTCTCCAGGTAATACCGGTGTGCTGGGAAATGAGCACCGAGGCAGACTGGTTGGCTTTGGACCACTTGGTGGTAAATTGATGTACGACAAGCTGGATGTTGTGAGGGCCCTTTGAGAGAGAGTGAACAGTGCGGAGGTGCAGATAGATCATTACAGTCTAAGGAGAATGGCGCTGCGAGGAGTTATCAGGGGATCTAGCCGATGCTTAACACAGGAGAAGGATGAGACAGATAAACAATGAGACGGTTACTGGTACCATCAGAATTGGAACTCTTCACCTGCTGCTGAAGATAGGAACTGAGCACTTATGGGAGTGCCCCGAGAACTGTGACGTAGATTCTTAATTCAACGTTAAAAATTTTTTTTATTTTTTTATTTTTAAAGGTACAAACAGGAGAAACAGAAGATTGATATCTCCGACCATAAAAGCTTTGCTAGCTCATCACAGCGAGGGGTTATCTACAGACCTGGCAACAGTTTTCAGATGGTTGCTCTTGGCCCTGGCGGAGGTGACAACTTCCTCAGAGGGGATGATGCAGAACACATGAGGAATCTGAGATGTGATGAAGAGCTGAGGCAGGTCCAGGAGATGCCAGAGGAAGAGGAGGCTGAAGCTTTAGAAATGGTAAATGTTTTGTATATATATATTAAGGGAAGCGAAAATCAGCATATATACCGCGTCTTATTGTGTGCTTGAGAGTGTGTGTGTGTGTGCATGAATGTGTGTGTGTGTTTATGTGTGTGGGTGGGGGGATGGGTGGGTGGGTGTGAGTGAGGATAAACCCATTACCCGCCCCACTCCCTAATCAAGATGTCATAAGAGGCAACTAATTACTGGTGTTTCCCATGAGGTTAGAGCGCATCTGCCTGAGTGGTGAGGAACCAACAGTCTGCATATAAATAAATCAGATGTGTAAAATGAATGTGCACGCAAAATTCAAGATCTAAAACAAGACCAAAGTCCAAAAGCAGATAAGGAACTGTAACTTTCTGCCGACATTAAAAGCTGGTGAAAATTAAGAAGAATATATATATGTGTGTAAGTAGATGCCATAGCCCTTTTCAGGTCACTGTCTTGTTTTGCCAAGAACATACTTTTGAGTACTTAAAAATATTATAAATATTACACTGACTCTTAATTTCTAAAATATTGCTACTGTCTTATCAGGAATACTGTTAAATAGTAAAGTCAATTATGGACTAACACCCAGTTCTTGAGGAAAAAAATAGGGGCATTTGAGCTGAAATGCTGTAGAAAGTTTCTTAGATTACCATGGACAAAGAAAAGAAGAAATACTGACATTCTGAAAGATCTGAACATCAAGGAAGATTGGTAAATAAACAGCATCTTGTCTCAGAAGCTGAAATATTTTGGTCATATCAACTGCCATGGCGAACTAGAAATAAATAATATCAGAAGGCATGGTACCAGGAAGGAGGGGCAGGGGCTGACCAACCTGAAGATGGGCACAGGATATAAGTGACTCCTTGAGTATGACAGTACATGAGACAGGAGAGCTGGTGAGAGATCGAGTTTAATTCTGTCAGACAGTGATGAGAGTGACGTTCTGCAAAGTACCTGATACATGATGATGATGAGAAAAGTAAAAGTACATTCTGTTATAAACCACTCAGTACTTGATGGGTATTATGATTAACATCATCTAGGCTGCCTTTACTTTCCATTTCTTATCCTTATATGCTGAGATGACCAAAGAGCCAAGATCAAAAATCAAATATCTGCCTCAGTGTAAATTCAAACATTAGACCTTTGATTATTAATTAAGTAAATGAAAGGTCCCTTTTCCATGCCTTTAGGTGTATAAAGCATAGAGGGCTAGACCTATATTTTTATAGACCAATCAGCACAAGGTGGGTGATGTGGTCAGTATCACGCCGGCCACTTTTACTTTCCAGGACTGAATCTGGTACCCACTCAAGGCTGGATCTTCCTGGGAGCCAAGGTCATTTTTTTTTTAAAAGTCTGGCTCCTTCAGGGAGCCAGCCCATGACCTTCCGATCCGCAGGCAAGCCTCTAGCTGCTATGCCACGGTGACTCTCTTGATTATTATTATTAATGCTTCATAAATATTATTCAACTGCCATAATTTCCTGCCAAATGCAATTACAATTTTTGTTGTTGCCAAGAACATATATATGTCACATATTATGTGACTCAACATTTGATCTGTTACGGCAATTCCCACTGTCTTTTACCAGGAACAGCTAAGCAAGCTAAAGCTTCACGGGGAGCCAGAAATGTCTGCAGAAAATGAAGACAGTGATCCCCAAGAAAGAAATCTAATAAAGAGTCGTTTCCATTCACATTCAAAAACTGTGCACAAGGACCTCATTAAAAAATCTTCTGGTGGAAAGAAAGCTGTATCATACAAGCATACACAGAATGGTACATATGAAGGAGTACCTACAGACCAGGATGATGCTTCTACTGAAGAAGTTGACACAAGTGAAAAAGAAAGCAAACTTTGTCTGGAGAGAACAGCAGAAGGCAGAACGAGATGAAAGTGGAATGGCAAGTGGGGACTATGTGCAGATGCAACAGTCTGAGAAAGAGTTGGCTGCTGTGAACACACAACCTCAAACAGGTCATAAAGGTGGCAGAGGAGGGCGAGGGACATTAAGTCCAACTTAGTAAGTCAGTGTGATATTTTGTTTTTGTGTTCAGGTGTTTCTTTTTAACCAGCAGTAGTTACAGTACTTATGTTCCCTGTGTGGGCTCTAGGGCCCCAGTGTAGGGAAAACAAGAATAGACCCATTGCCTCCTTAAAAAGCATGTCGTAGGAGTTGACTAACTGGGAGCATCCTTCGAAGTCGGAGTGCATCTGCTTGAGCGGCAAGAAACAAACAACTGTACATAAATAAGCCAGTAAAACGGATGTACACGCAAAACTCAGGCTGCGGCACATAGCCAAAGTCCAAATGGATAAACAGTCAGGAATTTCCGCTGGAGCATACAGCCGGTGAACAAAGAAGAAAAAAGAGTGCTTATGTCAAAAATATCCTTTCAATTATTCTTTTCCTCATGTGAGCTCATCTTGCAAGTCTCACCTACCATGGGCTGTGATTTTCATGCCTTTCTATAGCACTATGTAGCAATACAGTCCAGAAAAACGGAAAGGTGCCAACGGCATCCTGTATAACCCATCTGGGTTATAACCATGATGAATGTGTTTGTTTTTCTCTTAATTCAGAAAACGAATTTGCATAATTTCCTAACTATTTGGATTATTTAATATTATATCATGTATTTTCAACAAAGTTTTATTTTAAAAGTGCCACAAACTGGGCAAACAGGCCTATGTTACATTCAACACTTCCAAACACTAATCTTTCACACAACAGTTGAGATATTCACTTTGTGCTACACCACATGAGCAAGTTTACAGCTTTTCAACAGATGATTTGAATTATTGGTGGTTGTCTTTGCAGTATTGATCCCATATATGGGCATCTTGGCTATCCTCCAAATAATGGGCACATATTATGGTGGCCACAAACAGGGCCTCAGTCACGTGTCAATTGTGCACTTCTGGCGATCTTATTTGCGGTTTTCCGGCGACTACCATCACCGCAGCATGGATTGGGGCTAAACTAGATGGCTAGGACTCACGAGCACTCTCGGCGGTAGCAGTAGTCACAAGAAAACCGCAAATTAGGTCACCAGAAGTGCGCAATTGACACGTGATTGAGGCTCTGTTAGGTTTTTTTGCGGCCGCCATAATATGTGCCCGTTATTCGGAGGATAGCCAGCATCTTTGTTCTTGTAATATAATGTTTCATCATCCCTATATAGTTCTTTAGGACTTTTTTTTTAAAAACCATTCTCAGGTTACTGTTGTCAACTCTTTCAGTTCCATGAAATTTTTACTTTAAAATCCCCAGGTGATCCTCATCCAAATGGTGGCACTTTGTGTCACTGAGTGTTCATTGCTCTGAGTGATGTCCTGGTGGGGTTGAACATCAGTCAGCCAGTACATTAAAATATCAGCTGTTTGATTCAGAATGTAAAAACTGAGTGCCCATGTGTGGGTTCTGGGGCCCAATTTTAATGGGAAAAGAATATAATCTCAAAATTTGACTAATTAGGGGGTTTGTTTAAACTGGATATGCTGGGCTGAAGGGTTGTAGGTGTTGTAGTCTGCCTAGCTGTGAACCACAACTTAATGTGCCAACCGCCATTTGAAGGCTAATACAAAAGAAGAGGAATACTTAGTTACAGTCAAGGTTAAAATAAGAGCTGTCTTTTTCTTTTCTTCCTCCTGCATCTCCCCCTCCTCCTCCTCTTCTTCTTCTTCTTCTTCTTCTTCTTCTTCTTCTTCTTCTTCTTCTTCTTCTTCTTCTTCTTCTTCTTCTTCTTCTTCTTCTCCTTCTTCTTCTTCTTCTTCTTCTCCTTCTTCTTCTTCTTCTTCACTGGCTGTAAACTCAGGCAAAAAGTTCTGGTTATTCACCCTTCTTGAGACTTTAGTCTTGTTCCATAACCTGAGTGTTGCGTGCACATCCATTTTACAGATCTGGCTTTTTAAAAATTTACAATGCTGGTTCTTAGATTCTCAAGCAGATGCACTCTGAATTCAAAGGATGCTCCGAGTTAGTCGACTCCTATTTCTTGCAGTGGGTCTTTTCTTGTTTTCCCTGCAATGCGGGTTTGGAACTCCAATAGGGAAATAGCTATCTAAGAATGATGGCATTTGATTGAATGAAAATATACTGGAGTCTCCCTGCAAAATGTTCAAGCTGTTTGCAACTCTCTGAACTTTCTTGGTTCATTTTCAAACTTGGTTGCTTGGTTCGTGAGTGCAGGTGCTTTCAAGATCACCCAGTATGCCCAAAGGTGTGGGAGTTGAGACTACAGGTACAAGTCCTGGTATATTAACTATAGCTTTAAATTTGTATGTTGTCTGATGTTTCGTCTTATCTGTACTTCTTTCTGTGGGTGCTGTGCCAATCAGCACATGTTAATTTACTTATCATAAATGTGTCTATGGTCTCAAAGATACCTAGCTATTTATTTCTAAAGGTGTGGAAATGAGTCCTCTACTAATTACCGTTTTTATTTACTGAATTATTTCTGTCTATATCCACAGCATGAACTTGACTCTTCTGTCCACATTATGTGTCCTGACTCTGGTATCAGGTGTGTACAGTAGCAGAGGAAGTGATGAAACCATTGTGGACATTACAGTCTTTGCTCCAAGCTACTTTTTCACCAATGCAACTCGAGTGTTCTTTAACTTTAACAAAGACACTGAGTTAGTGAGCAACAAAGAAGCCAGTGTTTTAGTTTATGGTAAGTTGTACTCAATATAAATATGGAGCTCTACATTACATAATTTTAAATTTCCCATCTTTGGTAAATGTAGTTCCCAGATATTTAAACTCAGATGCCTGTTTAATGCCTTTGTACTCTATTGCTATGTTTAGATCTGTCTTCTTTTTTCCTATTGACATTACTTCTGTCTTTTCAGTGTTGATTCTCATATTATTTTTCTTTATGTTCACTAGCTGTAAACTCTGGTGGAAAGTTCTGGTTGTTCATCCACTTTTGGATTGCAATCCTGTTCCAGAACCTGAGTGTTACGTGTGCATCTGTTTTACAGATCTGACTCCTTTGTATGCAGACTGCTGGTTCCTTGCCTCTCAGGCAGAGGCACTCCGACTTCGAAGGAAGCTACCAATTAGTCGACTCTCACGACATGCTTTTGGGTAGGCAGTGGGTCTATTCTGTTTTCCCTATTATAGGGCCCCCGGAACCTACACAGGGAAAACTAAGGGTAGTTATTCTCAGGGGTCAAACGGCAAGAAACAATAGCCATATTCAGTTCCAAATGACTCATTTACATTTTATTAATAATAACAAGATTATTTGATGCAAGAAGAAAGCTTCAGTACCATGGTATCTAGAATATTTGTCAATGTATCCAAACCATCTCTGAGGCTAGAATTTTTTTTTTCCATTGACAAGGAATTTCTGATTATTAAAAAAAAAAAAAAAAAAACCAGTAGTCACACATAGATGCTGAAGATTATCATAATGGTTATGATTAATATTAACTCTTTGAGTCCCAAGGAATGCATCATACGTTCACATGTTCCTAACTAGAAGCCCAATGAACGCATGATGCGCCGTTTTAATGACTCTCTTAACTAGCCCTTGGGCCTGGGATGCTAAACCCCCTGGGACTCAAAGAGTTAAACCTGTCACCGCGAGAAGGCAGAAAACTGACTCTTCCGGCTGGATCTATTTCCCAGTTAGGGACATGTTTATGAGACGCATAATTAATGCTGTTGGCTGCTTTTGCACCTGCGCAAATATTTTGGGAGTCAGGATATGAATACACCAACTAACAATAAGATTTGGGAAAGGGCTGGGGGGGGGGGGGGGGGGGGGGGGGGGGGGGGGGGGGGGGGGGGGGTGTTTTGGGGGGGGGTGGGGGGGGGGGGGTCATTTAAGCTAAATGGCATTGTTAAAGCCAAGTTAACCTCAGTTTTCTGTAAGCCTCAGTGCTAGAGGTCACAGGTGCCACAGCATGAGTCACTTGAGACATGCGTTTATTTATGCCCTAGATGATGTATTTAATTTTCTATTTCCCCCGTTCCTGTTTATTTGGTAGTTGCAAAATACATTGGGTTGTCTGTGTATGTTTCATATTATAAGAAATCTCATCAAGTACTTTATTGCCTGTGCATGCGGTGATTACTATATAAGTGGTTCAAACAGTGTTCAGAAGCAAGAGGATCATTGCATTGCCCTAAATTTCAACACAAAGAAGACTTTGTATCTCTTTACAGTGGTTGTGACTTAGTCTGTCTTAACAGAATGGCTGTCATACAAAGTACAAAGCTCCTTATCTCCAGCGATAACCCACAGGGATCATCATGAACCAGGGGATGAAGCCCTAAATCAGACACAGCTTTCAGAGAGCATAAAGCAGATTTTGTTCCCACTTTTTCATGGAGACCCCCAGCAAATTTGCATTTAATCAAATTAAAAGTTAAACTGAAAGAGAAAAAAAATGAGACGCAAAGTGATTACTCGATTCATATAAACTAGATTAGAAGCTGTATTTAAATTCACAAAACTTGAAGTATACAGGATTTTATCAAACAAAGCAGGTTTCTATGTCTGTCAGTTGTTGTTTTTTTTTATTGTCCTCAGATGTTTCCAAACCATTGATTGATAAAAACCTCAACTTGTTAAAGCCCTGTTTCAACATATCCTGTGAACAAGGTTGCGATGAGTCTAATGGAGAGTGTATTTGTTTCAAAGGGTACAAGCTTAGCAATACTGGAGAATGTATAGGTAAGATTCACTTAGCAATACTGGAGAATGTATAGGTAAGATTCACTTAGCAATACTGGAGAATGTATAGGTAAGATTCACTTAGTAATACTGGAGAATGTATAGGTAAGATTCACTTAGCAATACTGGAGAATGTATAGGTAAGATTCACTTAGCAATACTGGAGAATGTATAGGTAAGATTCACTTAGTAATACTGGAGAATGTATAGGTAAGATTCACTTAGTAATACTGGAGAATGTATAGGTAAGATTCACTTAGTAATACTGGAGAATGTATAGGTAAGATTCACTTAGCAATACTGGAGAATGTATAGGTAAGATTCACTTAGTAATACTGGAGAATGTATAGGTAAGATTCACTTAGTAATACTGGAGAATGTATAGGTAAGATTCACTTAGTAATACTGGAGAATGTATAGGTAAGATTCACTTAGTAATACTGGAGAATGTATAGGTAAGATTCACTTAGCAATACTGGAGAATGTATAGGTAAGATTCACTTAGTAATAATATTTGTCGTAGTAGTTGTTGTTGTTGTTGTTCTAGTAGTAGCAATTGTGGTTATTGTTGTTATTCTAGTAGCAGTAATAATATTAGTAGTTTAACCAGTGAAATTCTATTCAGCCCATCTAAGTTATAATTGAGTTTTATAGAGTTTTCTCTATTTCAGTACTATATATTTATGCTTACATACTTGTTAAACATTTCATGCATGAAGTGTATATTTTCTTTTTGCTTCTTGTACTGGGAGGGATTCATTTATACAGGATGCCATTTCATGGAGGAGATAGATCAGGAAGGGAATAAAGATAAAGCTCTTCTGTGCTTTCATTGTCAACGATTTTCAGAACATCGGCAGGTATTTGCTGGTTATATACACCATTGTTTGGGCTCTGATTCCCATACCTCCCTATGGCATAATGTGATATTTTGGTCTGGAAAGATGGAGAAGTGTCAACCACTAAGTAAATTATATTTTTTTTTGTACAATTATGAAAGCACTTGATATAAACCATTTCACTTCCCATAAAAATCTAAAAATAAAAATTCCTTTTTTTTTTTTAAATTGTTAAAATGATATGCATTGTTATTAGTAGTACATTTTACCCCCCTAGAACATCACACAAGCGATAAACACCTGATGACACAAAATGCCACCATGTGAATGAGGATCACCCATGGAGAGGTTCCAGAAACTGTTTAGCCATTAGGCCACATTCATGGCAGGGCTATATTGTGACACCTGGAAGAAGCAAGGGTGGGGCTTTAAATTAACGAAAAATTGTATTCAACAAGGAGATGATTATTTAATATGTTATTATACGCATTATTATAATTCTGTGAAACACTTGTATAGGAAACTAAAGGACGGAACTGGCAGAAGAAATTTTGACAAGGACTTTCATTCCTCAAAAATCTTAACAAGTCGGAAAACTGGCTAATTGGGGCAACAGGGTTAGACACATACATCTACGTGGAATGACAATAACCAGTGCCATCCACTGAGCACTAGGAGGGAGGCAGTTGGTTCCTTTCCATGACACTGAGTAACAGAAGTGGAAAGTGGGCTTTCTTATAAGACTAATAAACCAGTAGTCACATATTCATCTTCTGCCTTTCTAGCACCCAATAGAGCAAAGACCCTCAACCAACTCACGCCAAGTCGTTGTATCCTTCCCTATCACATGCAGCTCTCCCCATGTCCTCCCCATCTTTCTAACATCATTCTCCAGCTCCCTTCTCCTTGTATTTTTTGGCCTTCCTTTATTCCTATGCCCCTAGAATGTCTTTGCACTGGAACCCACAGTGGCAATAGTCACATATAGATGTTCAGAATTATTATAGTTGTTACGAATTTTACATCTTTTCACCTAATGACCATAAAAGCGTGTGCCAGTAGAATTTGATTAATAAGAGTTACACATGTCTCTGAATAGATGTGAATGAATGCATGGAAGGCAAAGCCAAGTGTGACCTGGCAGCTGGGTGCTACAACAGAAAGGGAACCTATGACTGTATGTGTGGCGAAGACTACTATGGAACCGGGAAAACTTGCAGGGGTATGTGTTCTACATCTTTCTTTAGTTTAGGCTTTACTAGGCTGCTAGCTATTCTGTGGAGAGAGACTAAGCCATAGTGGATAAAACTTTAGTGCACTGAAGTAAACCCACTCGTCTTAAAACCCTTAGTACCTGTTCCCCATACCAAGGTTGCATGACATTATGGAAGCACATTGTAGGTTCTGAGGCCCCGTTAAGGGTGACAATAGACCCGCTTAACACCCCCTTCCCCTAAACCAATGAAGTATACCATAAAAGGTGACTAGTTAACTAGTTATGGGTTTTGAGAAATCAGTTGTTTTGGGCCAAAAAATACACAGTTCACAGCCTTGCTGTAAACCACAACACAACACGTCAAGTACCATTTTTAGGGTGAGGGCAGAATACAAAGAAAAAGCATAAAGATATCCAGTTCCACAATCATACTATTGTTGCAAAGCCAGAATGGTCACTGCCAAGAAAGACAGCAGTGACAAACTAAGTACTTTTTTCACAGATAACCAAATAAATTTATGATTCTTTAAATCTGGCACAAGATCAGACACTAGGTGTACCTAATTTCACTATCTACACTTATGCAGTTTTATCTCTCTAGATGTATATAATGTTACCTGTCAACATATATGTAATTTTATCTGTCTACACATATCTAATTTAATCCATCCAAACATATGTAATTTAATCCATCTACACAAATGATATTTCACCATCTATACATATGTAATTTTATCCATCTAGACATATGTAATTTCATCCATTCAGAGATGTGTATTTTTATCTATCCACACATATGTAATTTCATCCATCTACATAAATGTAATTTCATCCATTCACAGATGTGTATTTTTATCTATCCACACATATGTAATTTCATCCATCCACACAAATGTAATTTCATCTATCCACACATGTGTAATTTCTTCTATCCACACACATATGTAATTTTATATATCCACGCATATTTAATTTAATCTATCCACACATGTAATTTCATCAATTCACACATACCTTATTTTATATATCCACACATATTTAATTTCTTTCATCTACCTATATGTCAGCATCTGTGGCTCGAACCTTGCGCTGCGCTTCATAATGCCAGGGTGCCAGGTTCGATCCCAGCTTTGGAAGGTTAGTCTTGCATTGAGAGCTGACCATTTAGAAAGCAGTGGCAAACTATTGAACCTAAAATTTGCCTAGAAAAACCATAGCTGCCAAAGCAAAAGTTGGGGTTGGTTCTGCAATGTCCTGTAAAGGATATGAAACTAACTTTTTAAAACATATGTGATTTCATCCATCTACCCATATGTAATTTCATCCAGATATCCATATATAATTTCATTTGTTCTTACTTAAACTATGTGCTATCTCCACTGTGAAGATTGACTGCAGCGGATAAGTGACTTCACTGCTGTCTTCAGGAATATTACATGGTGAGGCCTCAAACTCTTCCATGGTGTGACTCTCACACCGCTGACCAAAACCCACAAGAACTTCCTCATCCATCTACTTTTGTCTGTAATTTATCCATCTACTTTTGTCTGTAATTTATCCATCTACTTTTGTCTGTAATTTATCCATCTACTTTTGTCTGTAATTTATCCATCTACTTTTGTCTGTAATTTATCCATCTACTTTTGTCTGTAATTTATCCATCTACTTTTGTCTAATTTATCCATCTACTTTTGTCTGTAATTTATCCATCTACTTTCAGAATGCAAACTGAAGTGTCCAGACAAATATTATGAGGTGCAGCCTTGTGCAAAGGAAATTCAGAAAATCTGCAAAGGTATATGTTACTTTTTGCTATCAAATATCATGTTAGCATTGTTATAAGTAATGCATGAATCAATAACTTTTACAAAGAACAAACTGAGCTCTTTAGTCACATTCATAAGTGCTCATTCCTAACATTTGGCTTAGAGTATGCATGCTGACTGTCACTACAATGCACTGATTGTGTATTGACATCTCAATTTCTCTTGCTATTTATCACCATCTTGTGCCATGCCATAAAATGTAGCACCATATGCAACTCCCTACCAACACAGGACAGCAGGCTATGCCAAGCTGGTATAGCAATTATGGCTGCTCTAATTATAGCTTCTTTGAGGGTTAAATGGGATAACCAGGCTAATTATTGAATCCCGGTATCTCATTGTAGCATATTATTAAATACGTATTGCTCTTTTATTTTGTTTCATTACATTTGTTTAAATTTACAACAGATTCATATAATGGAATACATTTTCTTTTTTTAATGCATATTGTTTCTTAAATAATACAATTATGTATATTTTTTTTTCTTAAATTGAAATGAAGCAATTATTCAGAATTACTTAATTTTTATAAGTGCTGTGGTAATGAAAAATCTGCTAAAATGAATGGCTCCAGAGGGTAATATTTGAAATCAAAATAATACTTTAAATTTATGTGAATATACTCATTGGTTTATAACACAGTATGAATGTCACAATCATTTGAAATGTAACACTTATAATCTGATTTAAGTTATGTAATAGTGAATAGTCAAAATAATTAAACAACATAAATATCTAGAATTTGAAAATATGACTGTGTATCCTAATCAAACCCAAGAGGATTGAGTACCTTCTTCCCCTGTGTTCACCCTCATAGGGTGTTTCACATGTTGTGCAGAGGTTTACAGTCTGGCTGAGATATTTGTGTCAATTGGCCCAACATGTCTTATTTCTGCAAACCCCTAATCAACATATTTGTCAGTGTAAAAGATGCTCCCTTGTATAAGGTGTGCCCCAACAATTTAAGGGGTCACTACACGGCATTTTCCCCAATTTATGACCAAAATATCACTTTTTCATTGTGTTCGTTTCTGTAAAGTTCGGCATTCGTACAATAGATGACACAAAAAATTAATGTCATTTGTAAACAATTTAGCATTGAAAAGTTAATACTAATGACACCACCTCGTGCACTTTTTTAAGATAAAAAAAAAGTTTAAAAGTCAGTTTTCTCAAATCTTTATATTTCAGTTTGCTGTGTGTGTGAAATCCTAAAATCTAAGCTAATATGAAGAGTAGAATCATCAAATTTTGTAGGCATACTCCATAAACAATATTATAGGAACTGGTCTATCTAAAAATAGATTTTAGAAAGTTTTTGTTTCTAAAATTTGATTATTGTCTTATGATGCTAGTTTTTTTTTGTTGACTTTTTCAATAAACCTACACTTTAAAATTCTACGAAAAATATTTAAAAACATGTTTAAAGTAAATAAACTAGACCTGTACCTCTAAATAGGACGAAAGGTCATGGATCTATCATCTATTGTTGAATACCTATGTATGCTTTTAAAATTTAAGGATTCTAAGTACATATTGTTTTTTTCACAATATGGCGGCTATTGCCATGACAACTATGATTTTTTAACACTTAAAGTATACAAATGTAATAAAATGTATCCCTACAAGTGGCCATTATAAAATAACTGCTCTAAGTCTGTAAATAAAAAAAATAAAAATTTTTGGTGTAGTGACCCCTTAAAGCAGTTTTCCAGAAAGAAAAAAAAACTCAAATCTAAAGAAAATTGTAACTAAAGTTACATATTATTCACTGACCTTCTGAAGCCTTTAAATTCATTCCCATTGCTGTAAAAAGTTTCTTCTTCACTGGATCCATTGTACTTGCCATCAGAACAGGAATCTTCATTTGCAGATTCATAGAGAAAATGATTTTCACTTCCATACAGTGCATTGCTTAGAAAAAGATCATCCATCTGTGCTTCCACACTGTTCACTCACCCCCAAAGGGTCCTTACAACATCTAGCTTGCCATGCATCAGTTCACCACCAATTTGTGCAGAACCAGCCAGTGCATTTGCCTATTCATTTCCTAATACACTGACATAACCTGGGGAAAATATCCAAAGGACACATAACAAATAGGACCTCTGAAGCAGTGCTTGCCATTCTTCACAGAGCATACCAGTCTCCACCTTTCTTAACATGCTCTGTGAGTCAGTTACAGTTACAAAGTGTGTACAGCTGATTCTGAAGCCAGCAAAAGGCTGTAGATTTTGTGGTGCCATATGCCAGGCTTTGTTGCACTCAGCGACGTCCATTCAGTTTTGCTAAGAACCCCAGTGAACTTTGTCTGCCTCTCAACACAGCACCATCTGTATAGATTATCATGTCACCTAGGCCAGTCTCTGCACTCACGGCCCAGTTTGATCAGAATACTACACAAGTCTGACTTTTGCTGGGATATTCTGACCCAATTTTCTCCTGAAGATGCACAAGTATGTTAATCCTTTCAGCCCCAAGCAATGTGGGATGTATGACTGGTTCTTCCAATAAATTTCAAGTCATATAATGCATATTGTTACTTTTTTTTAAATTGGTCAGAGCATACTAAAGAAATCTGGCTTCTCCTGTACCTAATTATTGATCATATTTGATCTCTTTGAAAGTTTTGCTCTCATGGTGTTTCATATACTGATTATTTCCCCTAAGGTAAACTTGTAATAATCTTTTTAAACTGCTGTGTTAAGAACTGACATCACAACATTTAAGATATTTCCATACATGCTTTCATCTCATCTTTGGCAGCCAGCAAAGCATTTCAGTTTAGAAACTACCAGAAGCAGTTCACCTAAATGTCCATTTTGTCTTTCCTCTGAGTGAAGAATGTCAGTCACCTCACCACCGCCTCATGATTCTTCCAGACTATAATGATCTGTTCATGCTTCCACATTGTTCACTTGCTTCCAAAGGGCCTTTACCACATCTGGCTTGTCATTAATCAAATCGCTACCCAGTGGTGCAACACCAGCCAGTCTATCTACCTGTTAATTTTCCAACAGTTGTGTATCCTGGAGATATATTCCAAGGAACTTCTGATACTAAAATAGTAAAATTATGTAGGATTAACTTTCCAGATATATAGGATTGCAATGATTTAAGATTGCTGCATGATCACCTTTAACTATTTTATATTAGGAAATTTATGTTTATTTTCTACAGTACAGTATGTTCTGTGCATTCATGAAAGATAGACGATAGAAAGCTTGATCAAATGTTTGCTATTGTCCTAAAGAAATCATACTTTTACTTCTACTAAAGCCTTTGGATCAGTTTTTAAAAGAAATGTAATTAATTACTAAAGTTTAAATATAGTTCATTGTCAGCATAAAATTCATATTTAAAACACACACACACACACACACACAAATAAATTTTTTTTTAAAGAAGAAAATTTCAAATTTCATAGTAATTTATTTTAAAAAAAATTTTTTTTTTAATAATGTTTAATATCTGTCTTTTTAAACAATTATAACTCACTATGTTATATTTATATGTATATATTTAATAATTTTTTTTTTTAAATAATAATCAAAATTTATTGATTCTGTATAATTGAATTCATTAAGAATAAATACTTGTGAATTGACAATGATTAGTTTATTTGATAATAATTAGTTTACCTTCATTATGGTTAATGCACCTTCACATGTTATTGCACTGTTATTCATTAATTTTTCAGCTTGCACTCAGTCTTGTCGAGCCGGCTACTTCATGGCTCAGCCTTGCTCTAGCCATGAAAATGCTATGTGCAGAGGTAATATACCCTAGATTCATATTTATTTTATCTCCACCTTTTATTTCCTAGTTAGTTTTTGTTTGACTCCATAAAAATCTTTAATGTTTTTGCATATTATAAAAAATACATAAGATGCAACTGTAATGATCTTTTTGTTAACTTTCACCAGTTATAAACTCGGGTGGAAAGTTCTGATTGTTCATCTTATTCTGGATTTTATCATTGTTCTAGAATGAGAATTTTGTGTGCACATCCATTTTACACATTTGGCTTTTTTTTTTTTAATGCAGATTTAGGAAAATGCATTCCAACTTGGAAGAAAACACCCCTTATTATTCAACATTTAAGACTATTTTCTGTATGGTTGTCAACAGTTGATTTGAAGTAATTAATCTTGCTGTTCCCTATAATTTTTCATTAGTTTTCATTTTCGAATTTCATTGCCTGATATAAATATTATATACATTTTATATCATGTGCCTGTATAACCCTTCAGGTAGTGCCAATTTATATCTCTTTTTGTTGTGTGTTATTTGTCTCCTTCACTACTTCTACTGAGAATGACCAAAAAGGATGCACACAAGCTGTCCACCTTCCACCACACATGTCTACGTAGAACTATCAAATTTTCTGGCCAGATACAATCTCAAACACTAAACTACTTCAAGTCACAAACCAAGAAACTTTAGACAGTATGATAACCAAGAGAAGATGGAAATGGCTTGGCCACGTTATGAGAATGAATCCTGACATACCTGCCAAAACAGCTCTCACATGGATACCAGAGGAAAAGAGAAAAAAGGGGGCCCAAAATGAACATGGTGACAAACAATGGAAAGTGATCTGAGTGTGGCATCTTTGACATGGAAAACTGTATTGAAGATTGCACAGGACAGGAAAGCATGGAAAGTCCTCTCTGAAGCCTCATGTGCCACTAGGCATAACGAGAACTGATGATGACTTCTTCTACTGATTCTGTTTCTTAGTTGCTTGAGAAAACACCAGAAGAAAACTAAACAAATTCCAGTGAAGCAAGACATAGAGAAAAGACACTCACAATAGCCCGGTCACACATCAAGAAAAGCTGATAAAAATATAAATAGAATGACTTACACTGAGTGGCGTCCATGACTTAGGCATTTGCGGGTCTGACTCATAATTCCAAAGTACTGCGATTGAAACCCACTGATGGCTGTGTGGATTTTTATCATGGTATGGGGTATCACAGGTCGACCCAGCCTAAAATGGGTACCATGATGGATGTCTTGGGAAAGTAAAGACGGCCAGCATATTGCTGACCAACTTACCCACTTAGTGTAATAATAAGGGATGCTCTTCCCATATGCCCCATGCGCCCAAGGCATGAAAACAGATGTCTTACACTGGAGCTTACAGGGCAATAGAAAAAAAAATAGAGAGTACCATGATGGATGTCTTGGGAAAGTAAAGACGGCCAGCATATTGCTGACCAACTTACCCACTTAGTGCTGATGGGTCTGTAATAATAAGGGATGCTCTTCCCATATGCCCCATGCGCCCAAGGCATGAAAACAGATGTCTTACACTGGAGCTTACAGGGCAATAGAAAAAAAAAATAGAGAGCCAAAAAAAAAACGTATGAACAGTAATATTAAAGCTTGAATTCTAAAAGATAGAAAGATAGCGAGAACATAGGATGAACCCAATACAATGGCAATGGAAAAAACAAAACTTGGGCAAGTTGGTTAAGCATTATATTACTTTCTTTGAAACAAAAGTAATCAAAATTTAGAGGAGAAGCTTTGAATGAAATAGGAACTGACAGAAGAATTAAATGAGACACATAAAAAAAAAGGCACAGTTCCTCGATGCAGAGGCAGGAAGTGAACACAAGACATTCAATACACTTTGGGCATGCAAACAAGTCTGCGAAAAGGGCAAGGAGCAGAGATTTTCCTGTATGGAGTAATGGGGGGCAACATTCTACAAAAGACCTGCACCATGATGATGACTCCATTAGTGATTAGTGTGACGTGACGCGTGGTTAAATGTTTATGTTGTTGAGTAGGGATCTTCCTTTCAACACATTCTCTCCACCAGATAAACCAAACTAAAATCTGAGCTATGTTGCTCTCACACAAAGTCCTGGATATCCAAGAAAACAGCCATATTGGCTCGTTAAGTAATTTAACATTAGCTGCACTTGGTACCCACAAGAGAAGGCAAGGAATTTTAGATGTCTATCATACTTAATGAATTATTAGACAGGGCAAGTGATTCCTCCGTCATCTACCTTCTCCCGGTGTTATTATTAATAATTAAAGAATTATTATATTATTTGAGCCCCCACCAAATGGTATTCTATCCTAACAGTTTAATTAAACATGTAAGAACAGACATTTGGAATTTAACAAACTATGTAGTTTAAAACTTGACATACAGCTTTATTTACTACAATGAAATTACCAGTTTGTTGATTTACACAAACAGTGACTGGTTAATGAAAGTGATACGCTTCAGCGAGACAAACAGCTCGGGGTTTAGAGTGGTATGATAATGATGATAAAAAGGTTAACATAAAGGGGTTAACTCAACTTATAAGCCTCTGACAGCCGTGAGGAACTGTCAAGCTTGTCCAACTCTTCCTTGCTGTTGTCTGCCTGTTTCAGCTTATTCTCCACTTCCTCCCCACCTCGTTCTCCACATCGTTCTCCACCTCGTTCCCAGCTGGCCGAGTCTAACACTATGTAGTCTCTTTCATGGACTGATCGTCACATGGGCGCTGTAATCATGGAAACAAAAACACATACGTGTAGTATCTTGACTTACACTAAGAATACATGTATTAATTAATACAACATATAATAATAAAATATATCCCATCACTCCTCCTCATATTCCACATCCTCTCCAGTCTAGTCTGAAGGTCTTTTGTCTTACATGGGCGTCACATATCCTGCCTTCCCTCCAATGCTATGTCATGATAGTTGACTTTCTAAGTCTGTTGTCCGTCATCACTCAGACTTCCAACTGGCTGACATTGATATTACATGACCACGTGGAGCAGGTTATGTGCTGAAAACTCAAACAATTTATATGTGCACTCTGTCCTGAATATTATCTTTCAGTGACAGTAAATACTGTACACCCATCAATCTCCCCCTGGGGTTATAAATCCCCTGTTTAGGTGAACACCTTAAGTGAGCACATGGTGGGCACACAAAACGTAACAGCATCCCTGCACATATGGGCATGATTTCCCACAGTCCAAACTCATATTTTGGCTGATCATGGAAACAATATAATTACATTTCATTATAGCAGATGTCCTTGTTCACATCTTATTTTATACACATGAAAACATACACTGAAAAACATGTGACACAAACATACAGGAAATAGGAATAGTTTAGCAGTTTCCTAACTTGAGATACTGAATACTCACACAGAACTATTTCAAGCAGAATGTGCAGACAAATTAGGAAAAGGTAGTATAGACTAAGCTTAACTCCCTAACCTATGTATACAAGATTAAAATTAATATTTTCTCTTACCTGGGAACTTTTCCATCTATCGCCAAACCAGAGTACGACAGTAAAATATACCTTTACGTCGACCTGTGTTTGTTTGCCGGCAGGCTGCGATTAATGACGGGAATTCCACAGGCTCGAAGTATAAGTATCAATCTATTGTCCAAATTAAACTCCTCCCTTTCATTAGTTTTTACACAACCCTCAAGACGATGACTTAAGCCACGCCTCCGGAGTACCCAAAAGATCACATTAGCTAACAAGTGGCCTGTCAGTCAATTCTGGACTGACATCCCTAGAGCAAACATTCTTAAGTGCCCCAATCTAGTTTACACCGAATCTAACTGGCCGGTGTGAAAGACGGTCAGTGAAGCCATTGTGTTTCCTACGTGACCAAGATCAAGATAAAACATTCCTAATTGCCAAACACCTGTTCTCTCCAGAATTACACTGACGTGTTAAACTCCGACCTCCCGGCTCCACAATGTCTAGCGTCTACTCAATTCCCCTGTTCAAAAGGGCCCCGCTCAGTCTCTACAGTCTGGTCAGGAGATAACATTATGACACTGGCGTGAGAATCCAACCTCACATTCCTAGTCTGAACCAGCGGGCTGTATTATAGGAGCTGACAGAAGAATTAAATGAGACACATAAAAAAAAGGCACAGTTCCTCGATGCAGAGGCAGGAAGTGAACACAAGACATTCAATACACTTTGGGCATGCAAACAAGTCTGCGAAAAGGGCAAGGAGCAGAGATTTTCCTGTATGGAGTAATGGGGGGCAACATTCTACAAAAGACCTGCACCATGATGATGACTCCATTAGTGATTAGTGATTAGAAAGGATTATCATCACAGCACTCCGGACAGATCCATAGGTGCTTCGATCTCATCCTTAAAAGCTCAAAAAGTGTAAAACGACTGATGACGCCTGTTCTGTATTGGCTAATGAAACATCTTGTCCTCTTAGTGAAAAGATGACTCCATTGATGTATTTTCATGTATTATTGATGAACTTCTTGATTGATCAGTTCCTTGTTTGATTGACTGATTGAGAGATTTGTTGATTGGACAGAATATATCTTCTTCTTTTTCTTCTCTGTATTCACCCACTGTAAATTGCAGTGTCATTCTGGTGTTTATCCAGTTATGGTCTTTTGGTCTTGCTCTAACAAGAATGCCCTGGTACTATCTGCCACAGCGAGCCACACTAAAACATTACAATGGGTATAGAGCGAGCAGAAGACCTCGGAAAATATGGAGTGATGGCATTAAGAACAGCCTTACTGAAATGAACTTCAGTCCTAATAGTGCTCTTGACAGAGTTAATCAACGAATGTTACATCTCTCCCCGACATTTAGCTGAGGTACAAGGTGGAAGAGAAGAAGAAGAAGGTCTTGCATGCACTTCCATTTTACACATCTGGCTTGTTTGTATGCTGACTGTTGGTTCCTTGCCACTCAGGCAGATGCATTCTGTCTTTGAAGAAAATACTCCTGAATTAGTGTTTGTTTTTGACATGCTTGTTAGGAGAGCAGTGAGTCTACCCCTGCACCCTTCCCCCTCCCTCCCAAAACTGGGCCCTAAACCCCACACAGAGAGGACAAAATATATGATTACACCAAATGATGAAAAACAAAAAGTTTTTGTTTTTACTCAGAGAAATGCCATGTTAACTCAGATAATGCTTTGAACTAATTGATTTCTTGGGGTCTACCTCTGTAGTGTGTCGACCTGAGTGTCTGCCAGGAGAATTTGAATCCAGACAGTGTACCAATTATCATGACAGAGAATGCAAAAGTAAGAGTTTATAAATTAATCTATACTGCCTCAATTGTAATTATTTCCTATTTGTTCTGACCTAATTTCTCAACTCACTCTTCTTCATCGTCATCATCGTCTGAGTGATGTTGTTCCTGTTTCCATCATAGCTGCAATATTTGCGCTTTTAGACCAACACATTTGATTTCTTTGGTCAAATGTTACCTGGGTTAGCTTTCCCAGCAACTCAATTAGAACCAAGAAACTCAGCATGCATTTATTGGTTTCTCTTTTCTCCTAAGATTTGCAACTCCCATGTAGATATTACACTAATTAACTCTGCCTGATTCGTTACTATTACTTTTATCTTATGGTTTCATTTGTTTGATGCATTCACATTTATTAACTATTTAACAACTTTGCATGATAGAATATGCAAACTAATACCTGGCAGGGACTGAAAGGATAAATGTTCAGAACCATGTTGGTGTAGTGGCTAGTATATGTGCATGATGTCTTTGTTGTCCAGGTTTGTTTTTTTTTTTCTTCTTTTTCTTTTTTTATTTTACCCAGCCAGTGGTTTCCAGAATTTCAGGTCAGAGGTTTCTATGAAGGTTGTTGTGGGACACACATCCTCCACTCATCCATACAGCCTGGTTTCCACTGAAATGCCAGTTTGCCAGACCTGGAACCTCTCAACTGCATGCAGAGGGCATTTCTGAAGCACATGTTCAGTATTTTGTGGTGTCTGTCCACAAGGGCAAAATTCTGAGTCCCCAATGGTTTGTTGCTTTCATGAAATAATGTTGACTGGGTCTTCAGGATTGTGTTATGAAAGGAACTTCTTCTTCTTCATCTTCACCTTTACCAGCTGTAAACCTCAGCAGAAAGTTATGGTTATTCATCCACTTTTGGACTGCAGTCCTGTTCCAGAACCTGAGTGTTGCGTGTGCATCTGTTTTACAGATCTGACTCATTTGTATGCAGACTGCTGGTTCCTTGTGTTTCAGGCAGATTCACTCTGACTTGGAAGGAAGCTCCCAATTAGTAGACTCTTACAACATGCTTTTGGGTAGGCAGTGGGTCTATTCTTGTTTTCCATATAACACATGGAACTGTTGCACGAGATTCCAATGGCTGCATTGATCTGGCTTTTATTTTCCTCTTGAGTGCATCCTGTATCTGGCTACTCTGTGTTACTTCCGGTGTTTGCTAAGTAGTGTGCTGTTTTGTTTCACGTAATGTTGTAGTGGCCTGGAATCCACTGGAGAATCATCGTCTTCTTTAGCCGTCAAATTTGATTTAGCAGAGATTTAAGCTTGTTGAACTTTAGATGCTTATTGCTTTGTATTTGTTTGCACTACTGAGTTGGTATCTGTCAGCATAACAATTTCATTGAGTAATGTGGATACCACTGGACCCTGCTGACTGTGCGGATGAAACCTCTTATGGTTCAGCGGACAAGAAAGTGATTACCAGCAGGCTCTGTGGAGAGCTTCCAGCAAAACGGGGCCCTTAAGACACCTTGGTCATTCACTGCACCTAGGTCCATTTCCAATCGTCTCGACATTGTCCTGTCGTTGGATTAAGATGGATTCAGGCAAAAGAGTAAGGTCGTAGAACTACACAACTCTTCCTCAGTTAAATTGAAGTTCTTGTGCAAGTCACTTTCATCCACTTACTACTGTAAGTGGTATTCATCACTGATGGATGAACAGCAGAACAACAAACAATATGGAGACAGCTTCCTCCAGCAACATTACCTCATCTTTGTAAGGATTTTGGAGGATTGTTTTCCTTTAGGAAAACTACATTCTTATAGCACCATTGGTCCATTCTGTTTAGATTCCACTTCCGTTTTCCATTATATACATTATATCTTCCTTTGCTAAGCCATCTGTGAATACCTATATCCATCAATTTTTGGGATAGTTTTGTTCTAATATCTGATTGGTGACTGTCTGAACTTCTTAGGGAGTCTGTTTTCCTCTGGTCAAGATTCCATCTTTGGTGTGTCAAAGACCTGGCCTTATAAAATGTCTGCTAGAACATTTCCTGTAAAAGTCATCTAGTCATACCACTCACATATATTTTGGTTTTTATCTGTTTTCACACCAGCCAGGTATTCATCCACAAGTAGTGGTACAATTTAAATTTTTCCAACCAATATTCTCATAATTTGTCATTATAGGATAATGTTTAGTACTAGAAAATTACGGGGGAAAGTGAGGTAGCTGGAAAATAAACTGATCATCCAATCTCATTATTTCATGACCAAGTATACATGATGCCCTTTGGGAACAAGCAACGGAATCAGTAGAGAAACAAGATTATTATGGCCTGGTGAGAATAAGGCACCTGGGTGTGACCAGAGGGTCTGGCCGGCTCACTACACTCAGAGGAAAGGCAAGACCAACATATAACCAGATTGTGACCGGTACCATCAGTATTGGAACTCTGCACTGGCTGTTGAGGATGAGGACGGAGCATGCCTGGGAATGCCATGAGTGCTGTGATGTCAATTGTTGACTCAACTCAACTCAACTCAACTCAACTCAACTCAACTCAACTCAACTCAACTCAACAGTATATGTGAAATCCTAAAGATTCTGTGACAATACCTTAACCTTTTTAAAACAATAAATAAGCGATAATTTATGACAATCACTTCTTTTACAGATCTGACGCAGTTGACACCACCACTGACATCCACAAATGTCATCCTGGAAGAAAAACGACATGTTAAAGAGGATCGTGCTAAACTTGACAAATTACCTGCACATTATGTAGGGTTTACACGATACAAGCTTTTCAGAGGTAATTGCTAACCATGTTGTGTTTTGGAGGGGGATGACGGCGGGGGCAAGGGGAGGTTTTCATTTAAATATTTTAAAGCCTGTATGCACATTTCACTACTATATATTTTGTAACAGGATAAAGAATATTTTATGCATTAAATCTTTGTCAGCTAAGGTGAGGGGAGGGTTCATTGCTCTGCAATCATTGTCTTTCTTCAAGGTGGTTCTCTGTGGTGGTTGGCACTAGGGCATTCTCATCATATGGTCAGATCTTATCTTTTGCTTTTTAACTCTTTGAGTCCCAGGGAACGCATCATACGTTCATAAGTTCTTACCTAGAAGCCCAATGAACACATGATGTGTCGATTTTAGTCTCTCTTTACTATCCACTGGGCCTGTGATGCTAAACCCCCCTGGGACTCAAGAGTTAATGAACTGTAAAACCAACACTATAGAGAAATTATTACTTTTTAGATATACATATATTTAGGGATAGAAAACTGTATAAATTAATGAACTATTCATCACCTTCCATTTTTGTCAGCCAATGTCAAATGAGGAATAAATAGATGGTCCAGCTTAAGACTGGGAGGGACCAGCAGTGGGAGGGGTGGGGCACTGATTATTGTAAGAACAACTAGCTGTGTTAATTATTATTATTATTATTGTTATTATTATTGTTGCTTCTTCTTCTTCTTCTTCTTCTTTTTCTTTTTTTGTCTTCTTCTTCTTCTTCTTCTTCTTCTTCTTCTTCTTCTTCTTCTTTTTCTTCTTCTTCTTCTTCTTCATTAGAGTTTCACATCTCTTCTGACAGGCTTTTGGGCAGGCATTGGGTCGTTTCTTGTTTCCCCCCCCCCCCCCACAATGGGGCCCTGGAACCCACACAGGGATCAACCCAACCATCTGATTTCAAGAAATTTTCATTAGTCACCTCTTACAACATGCTTGTTGGGGTCGGAGGAAATGATGTTAGTGGGTCTATTCTTTTTTCCTTCTCAAAATGAGGCTCCTGCATCTATATGGGAAAAGATGCTTGCATAAATGGCTTTGCAAGCACTTAGAACTAAATAGTCTTTGCATAGAAAAAACTAATTGTATATAAATGTTATTAGTTTTCACTAGTGATAATGACAGAAAAATAATGCACTACTGGAACATGTATGCTTTTGTATTTTTTTTTTTTCAACTTTATATTCATGTTATCTGTATTGTTATATGAAAATAACATTCTTTATAGAAAAAAAAAATGTAATTGCTGTGTGAAAGTCCAGTGTTTGGAAAGGCTGAATTTAAGAGGGGCAACGTGCCTAATTTGTGATGCTTTTAAAATTGTATTTGTTAATTCTTTCGTAGCATTCCTATTTTCTAACATTTGTGTGTGTGTGTGTATGCATATGTGTGTGTTTGTGGGGAGGGGGCACTTAGATGTGTGTCTAAAGTATACTGATCTCTTTTCTAGTTAATCAACCAATGAATCAATCAGCCATGTTCCTACGGCTGTTTTTTGTTTGTCAATTTTATACATTTTTTTTATTTTAACTTTTAAATTTGCTTATTTTAAAGTTCTTCAAAAATGTCTTTTTTAACTGGTCTCTTTAAAAATGATGCTAATGCCAGCTAAACTGGAACAAATGTTTCTCTCACACAGGAAGTGGTATCCATCTGGAGTTGACAGTTCGTTTTATAGATGCAGCCCAGCAGTTTTTGCCCATCAATGTTTCCCAGCCATTCAGCCTTGATCTAGTGGCTCCATCTGTGTTGAGGTCATACTCAGTACAACATTTCTGTCCCAGTCCAGTTCCAGATTACTACATTCTGCGCTACAAGAAACTTGAGGTATCAAAAACCAATTCTAATTTAATCAATCTAATTTAGCCAAGAGAAACATCGGTGCAAGTCAAACTTTATATCTGACTTGTTTGTGTGCAGACTGTTGGTTCCTTGCCTCTCAGGTAATGAAAGCACTCAAACTTTAAAGGGAGCTCCCAGTTAGTCGACTTTTATGACATGCTTTTTGGGTATAGAACCCACACGGAGAATAGAGATCATGCAGTTTTAAATTTTTTTTTTAGTTACTTTGCCCAAATCAACTTTGAAGATATTGCTAGTAAGAATATAAAGGTGTGTTTAATTTACATCGAGTGAATGGCTGAATGAACAATGATTGAAAGACAAATTCGGTTGCATTTCTTTGTGCTATCATATTAAACACAACTGAACCTGAAATTTGCAGTTTTATTTCCTGAGTATTCAAAACACTTTCAGGGTAGATGTGCCATGAAATGTTTTAAGCCTGACAAGGATGCTGCGGCTAAAAATGTTTAAGAACCGCTGCTATAGGGCATGATTTGCTGGAGTGTAGGAAATATGAAAACCAAAGAAAACCATTAACTGACTACATGAATCTCAGTAAATTACCCATGACGATGGAAAACTTGCTGCACATAAACAGTCCCAGAGAGCTGTTACTAGAACTAAAATTCATATATATAGAAGGGTATAGAATGCTCATGGCATCTTTGAAGAAGTTTCCCCTAAAGATCAAATTGAGGAGAATTAACAATGATTGCACACTAAGGAATCAATATATCAACCATGTTAATGACACAATGTCAGTAAGATTGTCTAATTATTCATAGTACAATTTTTATCATAATCACTACTCAGATGAAAGCAAAACATGGAACAGTACAAATCACGTATTGGTCATATAAATAATTACATGATATACAAATATAAAATAGTAAATATATACTCTGAGAACTCCATTAACACTATATATCCCAGTTACAACCCTGAGGGTTAAACAGGATATTTTTTTAAACATTACGGCTACTACTCATTAGAAAAATTAGACACAGACAGTTGGTAATATTGAGACATGTTATGAGAAGAAATGCACTCGAGAACTTGGTGATGATCATCAAGACTGAAGGAAAGAGAGCAGGGGAAAGGCAAAGAGATAATTACTAGATGTCTTAGCTGTATGGATGGAACAAGACAAGAACATTGATTTATGATTCTGCGGGTTGTGTGTCATGGAGAAAGACATGTATCCACCATGTTAATAACACAATGTTAGTAAGATTGTCTAATTATTCATAGTACAATTTCTATCATAATCACAACTCAAGAGAAATATGCCAAGAGAAACACCAGTGCAAGTCAAACTTTACCAGTCGCTGAGTGAATTACAACAGACAGTGAAGTTCATACTAGAGACAAAATTGCAGATATAGATAATCTATTTCATGTGAACGAAAGAAGAGGAAGAACAACAACTCCAAGCTAAGCAAAATGTGAAGCAATACAGAATATATTTTTGTCATATAAATAATTACAGGATATAAACATTTAAAATAAATATATACACTGAGAACTGAATAGATACTATGTACCCCAGTTATAACCCTGAGGAATGAACAGTATATTTTTTGAAAACTTACTACTACATAGACTGTTGGCATTATTCAGACACATGAAAAGAAGTAATGGACTCTAGGTAGAACTTGCTGACGACCGACAAGATTGATGGAAAGATAGCAAGGGGAAAGCAAAGAAAGTTGAGTTGAGTCTAGAATTGACATCACAGCACTCGAGGCATTCCCATGCGTGCTTTATCCTCATCTTCAGCAGCCAGTGCAGAGTTTCAATACTGATGGTACCGGTCACAATCTGGTTATATGTCCATCTTGCCTTTCCTCTGAGTGTAGTGAGCCGGCCAGACCTTCTGGTTACACCCAAGTGCCTCATTCTCTCCAGGCCATAATTATCTCGTTTCTCTACTGATTATGTTGCTTGTTCCCAAAGGGCCTTGACCACATCTGCCTTGTCATGTATCAATTCACCACCCAGTGGTGCAGATCCAGCCAGTCTGTCTGCATGTTCATTACCCACCATACTGGCATAGCCTGGAGAAAAGATCCTAAGCCACTGATTCAGTTGCTTGTTCCAAAAGGCAAAGAGATAACTACCTAGGAAAAATAAGAATAGACCCACTGCCTACCCAAAAGCATGTCGTAAGAGTAGACTAATTGGGAGTTTCCTTTGAGAGGCAATGAACCAACAGTCTGCACACAAATGAGTCAGATCTGTCAAACAGATGCACACGCAACACTCAGGTTCTGAAACCTGAATGCAGTCCAGAAGTGGACTAACAACCAGAACTTTCCATCGGAGTTTACAGCCGATGAACGCGAAGAAGAAGAAGAAGAAGAAGACTACCTAAATGTCTTAGCCATATGGATGGGAGAAGAGAAGAACACATCTGATCTGTGATACTGGTGGTTGTGTGTTAAGGAGAAACATGACATCCTGTACTAATCAATATGGCACAGAATGATGAATGATTATGAATGTAAGGTAGGATGTTTAGATCATTATCGTTACCTTTACCAGTGTCTAACATGGTACACTACTACAACTTATGAAATTAATACAGTGATCTGTGACTAAAAAGCCTAACAAAATGCGGAAGCGGAACCATGTGCACAAAACAACACAATGCAAATCAACGTTTCAGCCGGGGCCTTTCTCAACATAAACTGAATTAACAACACAGCAATAACAAAAGGGGGAGAGCACATCAACCACTAAGGGGTCATATGAGAAATGTGGAATAAATAAAATAAAATAAAGAAAGGCTAGAAAAATAGTCGTAAACATATTAGTGATGATATAAAATAATAGTAGAAATAAAATAGTAGTGGTAGTAGTAGTACATTTTACCCCACTAGGACATCACACAAGCGATAAACACCTGATGACACAAAGTACCACCATGTGGATGAGGATCACCTGTGGAGAGGTCCCAGAAACCGTGTTAAGCCA